TCCCCCCTCCCGTGGCACTGTGGGTGTGCCCGTCCCCGCCCTCACACGCCCACCGCCCGCCCCTCCTCGCCGCGCCCGCAGGAAGGCCCGGGACACGGCTGGGCGGGGCCTCGGCGAAGGGATAAGGCGAGGCTGAGCCCGCGGTGGCCAGTGCGTGGCGAGGGCGGCGGCGGCGAGGCCGAGGGAGGACGCCCTGCCCGAGGGAGGCGCAGGAGGAGGCCGGGGCTGGAGGCCGAGGGCGCGACATGATTAAAAAATGTGCTCTCGGACCCTTTATTTCATATGTTAAATCACTGGTGGGCAGTTGTTTAGATTTTGTTTTTTTGGGGGACATCCCACGCCTGTTATTTGTTCTGATAATATTTTTCTTTGACTTATTGTTTTAAGATCTTGTGTATATTTTACTCAGATTTTTACTTTAACATACACTAGGACTTCTTGTATTTTTATGGCATTTTTAGAAAAAAAATTAAAGTTTTCATAGTTTACATATATACTCACTCTTCCATAGTTTTTCTTTAATAAAAGTAATGTACACTTGAAGACTAACACAGTTGCAAGTAAAGAATAAAATAGGAAAAAAATACACTTAGTTTCCTCTTAAAACTATTTTACACACACTTAAAAAAATCTTTCATAATTGTTTACACATCAACCTGACTTCGTTACTGTATGTTGTGTTATGTATATTCTTCTGTAATTCTCAAATTCTTGGCTTCCCTCCCATAAATTACAAAGAACGACAGAGTAACATACAGACAGGCACAGTAAAAAGAAAAGAAAGAAGTAGGGGTCACCAGTAAGTGAGCTCAGAACACAAGTGTTTGGTCTCAGATAACACAGCCACAGGTGATAAAAACAAATGTGTAGTTAACATTATCATGTGGTATTACTCTCTTTGGTAATTCTTCATCCCCTTGCACCTAGAGAAATTTTCTGTAACTTTTCCTCGCTGATATTTATTTAATCTTGTTTTAGGTACATTGATAAGAGGTCTTTGGTAGTAATTTCTGTTAATTTTTGAAAAACTCATTTGTAATTTAGAGTTTTTATAGATTGTCATTGCAATGTTATATTAATTTATTTGGAATGAAGAAGTTCAGAGTTTTCTTTTTGCTCATTTAAAGAGGTTAAGTAATGACCTTTGATGGTATATGCATATAGAAATCTGGCTTTCGTATTTCCGATATTGTGTGAATTAAATTTTATAGTTTTTGTTTTGTGATCCATCGTTTTGTGTAAGTTTTTAATTAAAATATTAAAAAATATCTATACAGTTGCTCATTCAATGTTCTCAATTTAGTTGTTACCAACAATAACCATATTGCAAATACTATTTTTCTTGAAATCATGTTCACTGCGACACTTGAATAAGCATATTATAAAGTCTATAATATCCACACAGATAATTTTGTGTACACTTGAGCAATATGTTCTTATTCCGTTTTAGTTTTATACTAACGTCTTAATATATATATTGTTTTATTTTCCATTTTTCTTTTTTATCATGATTTTGTATTTTTGTCACATCTCATCCATAATTATCTATTGGTTTGTATATTTTGGCAAATCATGAACCTGCATTGTTACTGTGGCGTCTGCACCTTTGGCGTTCTGGTAAAGGCCAACAAGCTTACAAGAGGATATGCTGGCAAGATAGAGCTTGAACTAGTTATGTTTATGATTGTAAACAACAAGGAAGGTCCATAAACTCGCTGTTGCCAGAATATATAAGGTGGAAGTTTGTTGGCCTTTGACACAGAGTTGAAGGTGCGAAGACCATGGCAGTTGCTTGAGTCACGGCAGGTGTACATGTGGGAAGCTAGTATATATATATATTTTTTTCTAGTTGAAAAGGATCTTCATAAATCTGACAAGTATATCATTATATATATTAGACTTAGCTTAGTAAATCTTTAGAAAATACAAACACTTCCTTTTATGTGTGTTGCGGAACATGCAGTGATCTGTGTTCCGAGGCATACAATGTGAAGCCCAAGCCAATGACAGTGCATTATCAAGTGACTTCTCTGATCCTTCTGCTCTTACAAAGGCCACACTATTTTGTAGCAAGATAGAACAGACTGGTTCTTAATTTGACAGTTAATCACAAGGGGATCTGTAAGTTCAGTTTTATTAAGAGTAACCTAATCAGTAGATTTGGCATTTACCGTGTTATCAATAGGCATGATGCCATAGAAGTGTCTTGCAAGTATTTAAGATTAATTATTTGTGGTTTCCTTGCACAGGTGTACTGTGTTCTTTATTACACATTTTATTTGAAAACTAAATTTATTGCTTAATGAACCATTCATAATATCTGGTGTTTGTCAATGTCATTAAATTAGGCATACCTGTTTTCTCATGAAAGATAGTACTGTGAAAAGTTAATGACCATTAAATTTTTCATGTAGAGGCAATTTCTGTTTGAGTTTCAATTTGTTTAAATGATATATAATACTCATCACACAATGGCTTCATTTTGATTGAGTCAAAGTTTATACACATCACAGGCTAAACTTCCACCTTGTGAGTCAGTTTGTTTATAACAATTTCTTTTCAGTAGTTGAATGTTTCAGTTTCTGTGATCACACTCCTATATCCATAAGTATTTTGAGAACTCCATTACACACATACAGACTTCCTCCCTTATTCCACTGCACTTTTTTTTTTCAGTAGTTTGATTATTCATCTTTAGACATTTGTCCTTCTTTTAATTATTTCTTTGGACATCTTTCTATTTTATTGGTTTCTTTATACACTTCTTTCTGCAGTCGGAATATTCCTCTGCACACTACATTGCTTAAGTTGATTACTCCTTTATTGATAGTGTTGCTTACTAATGATTTTTTTCCTCCACTTCTTTTCAGGGGCGTGAGACCCAGGGGGCGCAGATCATAACGGCAAATGGCCAGACGTATTCGGTTATGCCCCAGGCGCAGATGCAAACTGTTACCATAGATGGGCAGGAAGCAATCTATATCCCCGCCTCAGTCCAGCACGCAGCAGGAACGCAGCAGATACAGCTCGCCGCAGGAAACCAGGCTCTGTTTGCGCCTGGCCAGCTTATACGAGCACAGAATCTCATTCAGAATGTTCAGACTGTCGGACAGGTTGGAACGGTGAGAAACCCTTGACAGATTTGCCAGCTGTGTTTAGTTGGTCTTTGTTTAATGAGTGATTGGAATATATACATATTTTAAAATTGATTATCATATTTATATTACCAAAACATTTGTGATATTTCATTGTTTCCTATATTGATATTTTTTCCTGTAGATATAGTTTTATTTGGTGGATGTATCATACATTAAAATACACCATACATTTCCTCACACATTTCAAATAGTCCATGACGTTAGATACTGACACTGACTAGAGTGGAAAAAAGAATCTATAATGAAATTGGTATAGGAATTGCCACTTTTTTTTACTCTTATGCAAAAATTGCCAGAATGTAATTAGCTAAAATGACAGCGTGCAAATGTCAAATAATATTCTTGTATTTTGTGTACGGGGTAATTACAGACATTGCTCTCAAGACCTTTTCTTTTTCAATGAGACTTGTTTGAAGAGAACAAGGGGAAAAATTGGGGAAAGAGCTGAACTGTCTTGTCAGATTTATTGAATTTAAGATATTCATTGATTCAGTCATTAATGTAAACAAGCAACATGAAAAAATCAGATAATCAGAGGAAAAGAAATTGATAACAATTATATAAATCATAAGTACAACCTAAAAAGAGACAGAGAGTGAGAAAGAGAAAGAAGAAAAAGAAAAGCACCCATGACTCCTTTTCAATTCACATTCATATCAAAGCTGAAACATTAGCAAACACCTGCTATAAACTTCCCAATATACGAGGATAAGGGAATGTTAAATCTACAGCCGATAACTGTGGGAGGTGTGAGACCTGCAACTGCAACGGCTGGAGCAGCCCAAGCAGCGCCTACTGCCGCCGCCCAGGTGGGACAGATGGCAACACAGGTGATGCAGTCAGGGGTTGCTGGCGTGCCCCAGGCCACCATCCCTGTGCAGATACCAATCTCGACAGCAGGAGGACAGACTATCCTGCAGACTATACCCTTCCCTTTACAGATCCCCGTCCTGCCCAACGTTGTCCAGGCTAATGGCCAAACCATACAGGTCATCCCTCAGATAGCACAGGTAAGCTTGGTTGTTGTGGTTGTGTGATAATAAATAATAGGTTTCTGTTGATGATTTCATGAAGAAATGCATTTAAGCTTCAAAAATATATGTATATTTAGAGTTATCATATAAGCACATTTTTAGACCTGTCTTTGTAAGTATTTAGTTACATTTTACTTATTTAAATTTTTTTTTATATGTGCAATGAAAGTTTCATGTGTTCGCACCCTCTATTTAAAGCAACAAGTACCAGCACAGCCCCAAATAGCACAGATCCTGCTTCCAAACGGCCAAGTTCAGCAGGTGCAGATGCTATGGGGTGGGACAACAGGCATGATGTCCTTAGCTTCCAACAGCTTAGGGACGGCAGCCAACATGACACAGATTGCCACCTCTCAGCCTGTGACCACCTCCACGTGGGCGACAAACACCGTTTCTTCACCGTCTGTGTCCATACCTGCAGTTCATTCCAGTACACCAACCAATTCTGCTACTGATGACAAGTCACAGGTTCAAGCTACACAACAGGTAATGACTCTAGATATTTTAGTCAGTATTTGAACTTCATTTCACAGATATGTATATATTGTTAGAATTGTTTTCTTGAACAATATTAATACATAATATGTACTATTCAGATATGAATAATTATCAACTTCAGTTATTTCCCATCAAATCGCAGGCAACATCAGCAGGTACAACCATAACAGCGAGCAACCCTTCACAGGTGGTGCAGGGTCAAGGGGCAAGCATTACCGTTTCAAACACTTCACAACTCTTGCCTCAAGGGATAACTGTTTCTCCTCAGGTAAAATAACACTCGATATGTTGAGATAAGTAGTTCTTCTGATACCAAACTTAAAGCTGGTCATTAAGAATAAATATAGATTTTTTCCTTGAATAATTGAAAAACAGTGGATGCATTATACAGTATACAAGGCAGTGAAATAACACCATACATATCCAACAGCTCTCTGGCTCAGTTGGAGGCGGAGGAGTAACAGTGGTACCTGTAAGTCAGACCTCTCAGTTACGCGCTGCGACCCCAGCAGCTGTAGCCGCTCAGCAAAGTGCAATCCAGATTCCTCAGATACAGGTGGTGCAGCCTATAATCCAACATATTCCTGGTCTTGGCCAGGTGAGGAGTTTTGGGGACTAAGGTTCTTTTGTCGTGGTGACTCATCACTTCGGTTTTTCTTTTTTTCGGTTCTTCTTGTTTCGTTTTGTCATTATTATTGTGAACTTGTGTTTTGTGGTGATTTTTTTCTTTTGTTTGTGATTCAGTTGTTTATAATTTTTCAGTTGCTTGTTTTCTCTTTAAATGCACACATGAATATGCTATGGTTTACCTGCTTGTAATATTTTTTCACCAATTTTTTTGAACTAGCTAAAAGTTTTGTTTAAATGGCTCTCTTCTTGCATGTGAAGTGTTTCAAATTTCAGGTGTTAGATCAATCAAAATAGGGAAATAAGAAGACAGTGTAATTGAAAAGAATAAATAATTGTATTGGTACTTATTCACCTTTTAAATCTAGTCTTATGCCATAAATTGGGTTTAGCAGGTGCTTTGATTTCTTTCACATAAAAAAGATTGAGATTACTTTGTGCATTGCATTTTGTTCTCACTGACTGATAACTGTAGCAACTCAAGTCTGAAAATATAATAACAGTTGTATAATGCAGAAAGACATTAAATTAAACCTGTAGTCATGCTAATGAAAAATGTTCATGAGTTGAAAACACTTCTCTAACATCATCTTCTCCCTATTCCCCTTTTTTTAAAATCCTTATACAGGTTCAGGTCCTGTCACCGTCGTCCTTACAGTCGCTCACATCATCCATTGGGGCATCCCAGCCTATCTCTGTGTCCACATTGGGCGCAGTTCCAACAACCACACAGCCTTCAACGAACACACTACCCACACAGATCCTCCCTGGTGGAGCACAGATCATAAGTAAGTTGACAAGTTTAATCCTTTTTTTTTTTGTGTGTGTGTTTCCTTTTCTGGATTGATTACTATATTGAAAGGTATAGCTTAGCACGTCATCAGATGTTACAGGATTATTATTATTAATATTATTATTATTAAATGTATTTATTTATTATAGGGAAATCTTGATAACCCAAATTTTTCTGCCAATTCCACAGGTGCTAGTGGCCTGCAGGGTGAGAGTGATGGGGGAGCCAAGTGGGTTGTCTCAACAGGAGGTCAGGTGAGCCAAGCTCAGGTAGTCCCACAGCCCGAAGACTCGCCCACAAACGACCCGGGCAAGACGAGATTACGACGTGTGGCCTGCACCTGCCCCAACTGCAAGGAGGGGGATAGAGGTGGGGAGAACAAGAAGAAAGTACACATCTGCCACATCCCCGGCTGCAACAAGATGTATGGCAAGACGTCACACTTAAGGGCACATCTGAGGTGGCACTCGGGTGAACGGCCTTTTATCTGTTCCTGGCTCTTCTGCAACAAGAGATTCACACGGTCAGATGAGCTCCAGGTAAGGAAGGGATCTAACAGTGTGCTCCATGTAATGACTATTAGTGAAATTAGGGAAAGGTCACATTTTGAAAATCCAAGTAAAAAATGGAACTTGCTCAATTTATAGCATCATTTCGGATGATAGATCTGATATTTGTACAATTAATCCAAGAGCTTAGTCTTATTTTACATTGGTTATTGAATATTATATCTGTTCATAATTTGCCTTTACTCATGGAATACTTCATCTCACAGCGGCATAAACGAACACATACAGGGGAGAAACGGTTTCACTGCCCCGAGTGTCAGAAACGTTTCATGCGTTCCGACCATCTCTCAAAGCATGTTAAAACACATACAAAACAGAAGGGGATGGTGAGTAATTGGAATGCTTTCTCAAATGTAAGTGGAAAACGGCTTCTTTTTTTAAAACCTTATGCTTAATTACGGTTAATGTGGGGTAAGTTATCAAAAACTGGGATCTTGTTTTTTTTTGTGTGTGTCTCTTGTTTATTTCATTTTGTTTGTTCTTTTTCTTGGTTTGCATTCTTTGTGATGTGAACCTTTGGAATCCGTGTCAGAAACGAGTAAATGAGACTCCATGTTTCGATGAATTACCCTATTATCCCTTAATTATTTAGTTAGATGTATTTCTCTCTCTTCTGTCCTGTTGTTTTGTGGTTTAATTGAAATGTTTAGTTGTCTTAACAGGGTAATACAGTTATTTGCTTTGGTGCCTTCTGTTCCACTTGCTATAATGTATACCTTATGAATAAAAACATGATACAATGCGCTAAGTACCTCTTAATACATGAAGTAAATGTATGCTTATGTTAATTATAATCGTAGGACGTAATCAAATTCTCAGAT